GAGGAATTAAAGTTTCCAAAAGCAAAATCTCAGAATTTAAAAACTTGAATTTCAGAACTTTAAACATATTTCTGCCTGGACACAACAAATGCTCAATTTTTCAAGTACTTTGTAGTTTACAAATTAAAACAAAAAACAAAATAGACAGTAAAAAAAAAAAAAAAAAAAAAAAAACAAGAACAAGATAAATTAATTTTTATATATATATATATATATATATATATATATATATGTCATATAAAATGAATATAAAATAAATTTTAAAAAGTTACTATTCATATATGCTGATTATTGTCCCTCTATTAAAACGCAGAAAGTTCTGAAGGTTCTGCACTGCATTTCAAGATGGTCGCCACAAATAATTGACTTCACAAACACATAAAGGGCTGTAATTAAGCCAGTTTTATATGTACTGAGATAAAACTTAGTGTGGTGGTAGCTTAGCATCATTCTCAGCACATATTCAGAGAGCTAACACACAAGACCTTGCATAACATATTTGTCCTGGTTTTAACCAAAGAGGCTCTGTCTTTTTGTCAACATGATCTTTGTTTAAAATTGTTGCATGAAAAGCAGCAGGTGATGTGCACTCTATTCAAGGAATGTTAGATCTGTACTGGGGTTTCTCACAAACTGCATTAAGGAATCTCAATTTGACTGATTTCTGGCACCATACAGGGCTCAAATATTCAAAGAAAGGGAAATAAATTGATGAGGAAAATGTAGCCTTTGAGCTAAATGTCCTGCAGGGAGGGAATCAATACTGACAGACCAATATGAGACTGTTTATGGTTTTGGAACCAGATGAGAGAAACTATTTTCTGCATCCGGGTTTTTGTTTTTAGCTACCAGATGATTCACATAAAGCTTTCATCAGGGTTCCTGTAAGCAATTACTGATTATTAGTTAATCTACCTGAGGAAGTGATTCATCCTGGGCTGAGTTTTCAGCAGCTGCTGTGGTTCATTCAGCTTGATGTAAACTATTTTTCTATGCAAGAAAAGGTTTTTATGTGCATATTTTTTTACACCTCAGTTTTTTTTTTTAATGCAGCTACAGTTCTAACAGTAACACAGACAGGAAATTGCTTGTGAACCCTGACTGACCTTTAAATAGGAATGATATGGTTGGAAATCACTTGAAGTATTACATTAAAAAAATATCTATTGCAATTTTCTGCACTTCTCATATGTTTTGCGAGTTCCACTGATGAACTTTTGACTCGTTTTTAGTGTGTGTTCATTGGAGAATCAGAAAAATTCATTTATATGGACATTTCACAATACAACAAGTAATTTTGATTACAATGGTATGGACAATTTCATCAAATAATAGCTTTAAAAAAAGGCATAAGAGTTTGGGGTGGCACATACCACCCTTATATTGACCACTCCCAGATACCACACCAGTTTAAAACAAATTTAAACACATCCAGTGTGTTTACATGGATAAATTGCATCTTAGAGTAAAATGTAACAATGTTTTCTCTACGCTGACGTGTGCTGGTTGGATCAGTGTCAATGGTACTTCAAACAGGAAAATTGATGAGATGTTTATGTTTTTCACATGTCCCAGTGGAGGTCGGGGAACTGGAATCCAAACGGGCCATGTTCAGGGCTTCTGTTGCAGAAGTCGCTTTCAGGAGCAGTAGCCTGAAGGTTACTGATGCATCATGCAAAGTACCCACTGGTGGACACCAGTGGTGATGGATGCCATCTAGCTGAGGAAAGTGGTCTTCAGGACTTGGCTGTCCTGAAGGTCACCCAAAGCAGCTGATAGGTACAGCGTGGCCAGAATGATGGCAACTTCTGTGGTAATGGATGCAAAAACTCAGGCATGGGAAATATTTGTGAGGTCAAGGAGAAGGACTATATGTTGGCTTTGAGGAGGTACTGGCAAACCATCTGATGACTCAGAAAAGTGGTCTCCATCCTAGGCTGTGTTTGGTTTGGGTGTGGAACTGCTGACCTGGACCCTTAATCCATCCAGCATATCTACCCTTGGGGAGGCAGATACAAAGGACTTTTGTGGAAGTCAAGGTCCATGACCTTGGCAGAAGTCACTGTGGTAGTCAAAAGCTTCCTGGTGTTAGGTCACAAGGGGTGGATGACATTTTCCCTGAGATACTGAAGGCTCTGGATGTTGTGGGGCTATCATTGTTGACTTTTTAATGTCACATGGAGGCCTGGGACAATGCATGTTAAGTGGCAGACAGGGATAGTGGTTCCCATTTTTCAAAAGGTGGACCAGAGAGTGTGCTCCAACTCTCATTGGATCACACTTCTTGCCCTCCTCTGGAAAGTTTATACCAGGCTGTTGGAAGGGAGGCTTTGACTGACTGTCGAACCTTGGATTCAGTGGAATCAGGAGGAGCAGTGTGGATTTTGTCCTGGTCTTGGAGCTGTGGACCAGATCTTCACCCTTGTGAACCTAAAGAAGGCTTATGGCTATGTTTCCTGAGACATTCTGTGGAGGGTGTTGCAGAAGTATAAGGTGCCTGTCAGTGTTGCTTTTAATGGTTTTCCTGTTCCTGTATAACCAAAGCAGGAACAGTGTCCACATTCTTAGCACAAAATCAAGCTCATTCTCGGTGCAGGTTGGACTCTGCCAGTGCTGTCTCTTGTCTTGAGGTGTTCATAGACAGGATCTCCAGATGCACTCATGGAAAGGAGGGTGTCTGGTTTGGGAACCTCAGAGTCTAATCTTGTGAGAGTGGCACGGTCTGCAGCCACCTTTCCAACATGGCCACTAATTGCCACCAGCTGTCAGTCATCCACTTGATGAGACGTCTCCATTACTTAAGGCTGCAGTTGAGTGCTACTCTCCGCTGGAGCATTAGACTCTCTATGGTATCTATGTCTCTGGTCAGTTATGTATATGTTTAGGGTGGCTGTGGCTGAGTGGTTTGAGCAGTCGTCCTCCAATGCAAGAGTTGGGGGTTCAAATCCACCAGTCACATGCTGAAGTGTCGCTGGGCAAGACACTGAACCCCTTGTTGTCTCCGATATGTGTCCCATCAGTGTGAATGTGATAAAGCACTGATTAGTCTTTTTAGAATGATTTGTTCAATTAGCTTTGTAGAGATCTAGTAGAGTGCTGTTTGAATGGGTGAATGAGGACACAGATTGCTGTAAAGTGCTTTGAGTATCTCAATAAGATAGAAAGGCGCTATATAAATACAATCCATTTACCATTTATGTTCACTGTGATTTCAGTAACTTACATAGTGCTCTTGTCTTCAGACTAACTTGCCTCTTTGAATCCTGTCCAGTCCTGGTACTCCCTGGTTCTGTTCCTCTCCTTCTTGCGTCCTGTCCTCCAGCTACTTGCCTGTCTGGTCAGTCCTGCCTGGAACTTTTCTCTGGTTCCACTCCTGGATTTCTGGGTGCTCCATCTCATTGTCCATACTGAAGAAAAGAAAACAAACAAATTAAAATCAACTCTCAACGCCAGCCCGAGACCCACTCGACCTTGTCCTTTTCCCCCAGGGATTCCAGAGAAGCCCCTGTAAATATCTGCACAGCACTGTAAATAATAAACACTGTTCAAACTTTATTTTGTGTCTGTCTCATTCCGGTCTCGTATCAATCTGGGGTTCTGAGATCACTACAAATCTCTGCTTAATGTGGAGGATAAGGTTCTGTTGCCATTATAGGGCTATGGCTTTCATTGTACATTGGGGCGGGTCACAGCCGAATGTGAAGCAGCTCAAATGGGAGTCTGCTGGAGTGTGTCGCTGGTGAGAGGGATGCCTGGATTTCTCTGCTCTACCTGCTGTATAGGCGACATAGATGATATGTGATAGAAGATGGAGAGTTTTATGTTTATTGATTAAAAATATATGCATGACTTATTAATAAATTTGTGTAAGACAATTGAAACAGTTTGTCTACCAATAATGTGTGAAATGTACCAGATTGTTTTGGTATTATTGTTTAAAAAGATGGTTTTAGCACAGTAGCATGTCCCCATTGCTATTAAAACATGCCATTACCTAAATGTTTCTTAAAACATTAACTCATAAAAAATGACTAACAAAGGAAAATAAATGACAAATAGTTTAGGCATAGTTTAAATAATTGTGGCCAAAATTGGACACCCCTCCTCCCACTTTCTGTACAAATGTACAGTATTTAAATGGTATTTAAAGTGTAACTTTAAATAAACAAATACATAATAAATAATAATAAATCAATTTAAAGTGTAACTTTAAATACCATTTTTTAAAACTGTGATTGTATGAAGGACAATAAAATTTCATGTTTCTAAATAAAGTGATTGGATATAGATTTAATATATTATCATATTATTGATACGATGGATCTGACTCTACCTTGTTAGATACATCTAGATTATTGAACATGCATCAGGACGATATGATATCTATCTATCTATCTATCTATATATATATATATATATATATATATATATATATATACATATATATATATATATATATATATATATATATAGTTTATAAAAAAAAAAACTAACGTGTAACTGTAAAAATCTAGTTTATTTTTTGTTTTCCCTGATGAGCTATATGTGCCACCTCTGCTCCCAGCTGTCTTCCCCATGGGGCCCCATAACATTTTCTGGACCCGCCCCTGCAGAGAAGTTTCATCGGAACACCATCATCAAACCACAGAATCGAACTGGTCACTTGTGGCTCAGCTGGCCTGATGAACTGTGTTTCAGTCTGCAGCCCAGTACTTTTTCCATTTAGGTTGTTTAATAAATCCATCCGCCCTTTTCAATCACTGCCTCTCCTCTTGCCGCCGTCACGCAGGTGCACGAGCCCGACCCGCACCGCTGTGCACGTGGTAACCCACCTGTGTGTAAATTCCTGCAGAACGAGGGAGAGAGAGAGCAAGAGAGAGAGAGAGAGCAAGAGAGAGAGAGAGAGAGAGAGCAAGAGAGCAAGAGAGAGAGAGAGAGCAAGAGAGCAAGGGAGAGAGAGAGCAAGAGAGGCGCCTCTTCCTCCTCTCTCCTCCCCCTTCAGCGCTCCATCTCCTTCCCTCTCTCCCTCCTCTGCCCTCGCTCTCCCCTTCTCAAATTGACGTCGGATCTGGGCTCGAAACATGATGACAGAAAAGCCTCAGTGCGCTCCGCGCTGTCGGGCTCTCCTCCTCCTCCTCCTCAACCCAGACCACCTGAAACTCAAATAAGCAGCAGACGTTCACAGGACTAAAAAAAAAAAAAGAAAAAGAAAAAAAAAAGGAAAGAAAAGAAAGAAAAGAGGATCGCACAGTTATCCTGTCAGCGGGACTAACAAGGAGACCTTTCCACCACACTCCCCCATCCGCGCGCTCCTCCTGCGCATCGCTCCCACCTCAGAAAGCGCTCCGTGCTGAACTCCAGTGAAAGTTAACATGTACGTGCACGCGTGGATCCGCGCGACTCTGGGATTTGTAGGTTTCTGTCTGGTCGCCTTTGTCCAACAGTCAGCTTCAGGAAGTAAAGCCGCGCATGGTAAGTTTGCAACCTGACAACACCTTCTGATTCTCACTACTAACAAAACCATGCACGTCTGAGTGGAACAAGTCAAACGCAAGAGAGCAGAGCTGCCTTCTGTTATCCATGTTGCAGTAGCTTTTTGTTGTGCGTCAGCCTGCTGCACGCACGCGGACTTGCCCAGACAGACACAATAAGGTAGAGATGAAGTTTCTCTTGTGAGTTTACTGCTGTTGGAAACAAGCAGCAGCTTCTGAGCTCCACAGCATCTGCAGTGCCAACACTTCTGTTTCATAGCTAATCCTGCAGGTATTGTAGTGAGACCAGCAGGAGGTATTTGTCACAGTCTGGACAAGTATTTGACACTAGTCTGTAACACCCCCCCCCCCCCCACACACACACACACACACACAGCTAAGCCTCTTATATGTCAGACACTACAGCTACAGTACTGTCCTGCTTCTCTTCCTCTCCTATTGGGATAATTAATTTGGCCCCCCTGAAGAACAGACAGACAGAGAGACTGAACCCCCCCATGCCACCTTTATGCATCAAGAAAAGACACACTTAGTTTCTGATCCACCCCCCTAACCTCACAGCTCCCCTTCCTTTTGGGTTTTCATCACTTAATTTTCCCACAATACAAATGCCAAGCAAAGCTGCCAGAAAGTATTTGCATGCAAAGACACATCGCAGCTCCCGTGTGAGTGCTGATTGTGGTCGGTGATGTTTTACTCTCACTAAAAGGCATCTCAGGCAGCCAACAAGGCAAAAAAAAAAAAAAAAGGAGAGAGACTGAGAGCGAAAGAAAGGGGGTGGGTGACTATTTTGCATCCTGGGTGGTCTGCCCCCGCTTGTGGGAAAACTCAATATTTACATTTTGCAATTAGAACTACTTTTTTCTCACTTTGTATTCCACAACATCGATTACACACGTCCTTGTGGCGTGGAATGCTGCTGTGTGAGAGTGGCTCTGGAATGGCGTGCACCTGTTTGTTGGTCACTGAGCGAAACGCAGCGGACGAACACTTGACTGGCCTCTCCTCCAGTTCCTGTTTATCCGTGCAAAACTCTTGCACTGACACACTCTCCGCGTTCGGCGCTGAAGCTGTTTGTGAGCATATTTTGTGCCTAACTGAAACAAAATAAATGGGTTTTGGTGGTGACGGCAACTCTTGCAGCGCTTCAAAAGGCCTGCAAGATGGGGAGTCGTTTTTAAAAGATTATGAAACAAAAACACAGTTTGTCAGCTCAGTATTTGATCAGCACGTTGTCTTTCATCGTCAGTGTCGGTCCGGTCGTGGTGCTGGTCATGGCATCTTCTCAAGGAGGAGAAAGAAAAGGGAGAAAGAGCAGTCGATAGAGGAAGGGAAAATTTGAGGATGACAAAAAAAGGAAAAAATGAGAGCAGAAAGGGGGAAAATCGGGAGGAATTAAATGCACGCTGAGAGCCGGAGAGCCGGCAGCCACAAGTGAGGAAGAAGAGGAAGCAAAAGAGGGGAGTAGGATACGTCATGGCAAATCACTTTCCCTTCAAACAGAGTCAGGGTCTCTTGCAACAGCACCAAGGCAACGGTTGGTGTGGGGCTGACACGCTGCTGTGGCTGGCTGTGTTGGTGTAACCTCTGCTCCGGGGCCTGGGGGTCTAAAGACGCGGGGCTGTCGGAGTGGGGAGGAAGGCCACATGCGGGCCTTGACACACTGTGGGAACCGAGCGGCCTGAGCAGTATGAGGCCCAAGTGATGGGGAGGCTTACCTTGAGATACTAACTTGAGTCTGCACTGTGAGTGCGGTGGAAGGGAAGACGAAATCCCCCAACGCTCACTCGCTCACCCCTCTCCTCTTGCTTTGTTTGCTTTGTCTCTGCTTCCTTTCCTTTGCACTTAATGAAGTAGCTGCACTTTTTCTTTGTCAGCCACAAGCAACGACTGCATTACACCCTCCGTGTCAGAGAGTTCCCTGTCAGCCCCATGTGCTAATTGTATTTTTTGCACGGCTCCCCTCTGCCCTCTCCCCCACATTCTCCGGTCTTCTTCGGCCTACTTTTGTTATAGAACGAAGAAGGCTAGATGTGCTGCAAGTCTGAGCAAAAATACAAGCATCATTGTGCAGTGGCATAAAAAGTTTTACGCACCATTCTCGACATTTCAAAAACACAGTTTAGAAACTTCTTGCATCCTTCTAAGAGTCTTTCAGTTCTCGCTTGATGGATTTTCACACATTCTTCCTGGAAAAGTCTGCTAGCTCTGTGAGATTCTTGAGTTGTTTTGCGTGCTCTGCTCTTCTGAAGTCTTTCCTTAGATGTTTGATGATGTTTTGCTTGGGAGAGTTGAGGTGGTTGGGGGGTGGGGGGTAGTTCTCTCCTCTTGTAGTAGTCCATTGTGGACTTGGAGAAATGTTAAAACCTTTATTATACAGCTGGGTACTCATTTCCTTTTCTTTTTCAGTTTCTTTAACCCATGTTTAACAGTTGTTCTTTTCTCTAATAATGATCACTCATAGTGCTCCAAAACTCCTATTTGAACATATTTAGCTCATTTTCTGAATGCATCAGGGCTATTTCTTGGTCTTCTAGGCTTTAACTTGGCCTCTGTTGATGCTTTTAACTCCCATTTCTACATGAAATGACACAGCAGAAAACTGCTACCTGAAAATGCTTTGCTGTCTTCTCATCTCCTCCTGCTTTGTAATTTGCGGACTAAAAAAACCCCAGATGTTTAAGGTAAGAACTCACTGGGTTTTGATTGTTGGGTGGGACTGGTTGGAAAAATTACCAGAAAAAAAAAAGACATATGTTGTACTGGCAGCACACTGAACAACACTTTGCACAAACCCCTGGTAACATTTGGGCTGAAAGTTGCAAACAAACCCCTACAGTTCTGTCTATTTTTTCAAATGTGATGAAAATTCAAGCAGTGTTAGAAAAAAGGCCCTGCAACTCACAAGAAAGTTAAGAACCCCCACAAGTGTTTTGAGTCGTTTTGGAGACGTCTTTGTGAATACTGTTTGCACTTTGTCGCCAACAGTTGCAGCCCAGTGAGATCCTGGCTTCAGAGGAGCCAGTGGGTGTCGATTGATGGTGCAAGATTGGAGGAGTCATTGTATTTATGAGCTTTAACATTTGCATTGACTGGCACGGTGGCAACAAGGTGCTCTGTGTTCACACCTTAGCTCAGATCTACTGAGTGGAGCAGGTAATCTCCAGGCGCTCTGGCTTTGTATCTCAGCTAGATGTCTTCAAATTGACTTGATTCATGTCTGTGGACTGGTTGGTGGTCGTTCTGTTAGCCCTGTGATGGATGGGCAACCAGTTCAGGGTGTTTCCCGATTCTGGTTTTGTGACAACTGGGTTAAGCTTTTGTCTTTGTGACCCTGGATAAAATAAAACAAATATGGCAATTGAAAGAATTACATTTTATCACCCTGTCTTTCTAAAACATGCTTCTGGACAATAATTAATCTTAATAAAAAGTAGCTTGTATGTTTGCATAATTGTGCACATATTCCCTTAAAATTCCCTTCTCTACAGTAATTAGAGAGATGGGTAGGAAAGTACTTGGTGTGTCATCTGGACAAAGAATGGATGATAAGGAAACCTGGTGGTGGAATAGTGAAGTTAAGGAACCTATTCAAAGAAAGGTTAGCTAAGAAGAAATATGACTGTGAGAGGACTGAAGAAAGGAGACAGGAATATAAGGAGATACAATGTAGAGCAAGGAGGGAGTTGGCAAAGGCAAAGCAGAAGACATATGATGAGTTGGCTGGACACTAAAGAGAGTGAGAAGGACTTGTACCGATTGGCAAGACATAGGGATCAGGCTGGAAAGGATCTGCAGCAGGTTAGACATGTTAAACAAATATAGGAATTGTAATGTTCTAACAAGTGAGGAGAGTGTGATGGGAAGATGGAAGGAGTACTTTGAGGAGCTAATGAATGAAGAGAATGAAAGACACAGAAGAGTAGAGGTCATAGAAACTGTGGACCAGGAAGTGGGAAAGATTAGTGAGGGTGATGGCCAGAAAGCTCTCAAAAGAATGAAGGAGGGGAAGGTTAGGACCTGATGACATACCAATGGAGGTTTGGAAATGTCTTGGAGAGACTGCAGTGAGGTTATTGACTCAAATATTCAATTGCATATTTCTTGATGAGAACATGCCTGCGGAATAAAGAAGAAGTGTGCTGGTGTCCATTTTTAAGAAAAAGGGGGGTATACCGAGTTGTAGCAACTACAGGGGAATTAAGTTGATGAGTCACACAATGAAGATCTGGGAGAGAGTTGTGGAAGGTAGACTTAGAAGAGAGGTGACTATTTTTGAGCAGCTGTATGGTTTCACGCCAAGAAAGAGCACCACAGATGCCATCTTTACTTTGAGGATGCTGATGGAGAAGTACAGAGAAGGTCAGAAAGAACTCCATTGTGCCTTTGTGGATTTAGAAAAAGCATATGACAGGGTGCCAAGGGAGGAGGTGTGGTATTGCATGAGGAAATCTGGAGTGGCAGAAAAGTATGTTAGACTGTTACAGGACATGTTTGAGGACAGCAGGACAGTGGTGAGATGTGCTCTAGGAGTGACAGATAGCTTCAAGGTGGAGGTGGGAGTGCATCAAGGATAGGCTCTGAGGCTCTTCTTGTTTGCTCTGGTGATGGACCGACTAACAGATGAGGTCATGCAGGAATCCCTGTGGACTATGATGTTTGCAGATGACATTGTGATCTGTTGTGAGAACAGGGAACAAGTGGAAGAGAACTTAGAGAGGAGGTATGCACTTGAAAGAAGAGGAATGAAAGTCAGCTGAAGTAAGACAGAGTACATGTGGGTGAATGAGAGGGAGGCTGGTGGAACAGTGAGGCTACAAGGAGCAGAGGTCACAAAGGACTTCAAGTACTTGGGGTCCACTGTCCAGGAAAATGGGGAGAGTGGTAAAGAGGTGAAAAAGAGAGTCCAGGCAGGATGGAGTGGATGGAGAAAAGTTTCAGGAGTGACTTGCAACAAAAAAGTAGCAGCAAAGGTCAAAG